CAAATAATCATAAGACATGATTATGACAAACATTTTTTTATATTGTAACTTGCCCATAACAATTATTTGAACAAATATAACAGTCAGTCAACAGACCACTCAGGCTTATCAGCACAAAAATAACTTTTTTATAACATAAACAACAAAAAATAGACAATTCAATAAATAAAATAGTGATCATAAAATAAATACATTCAAAAATATTTAATGTAAATGTTCCAAATAAAAATAAACTGTAAAAATTAATTTGATAAATTGCAAATGAAAATAAAGCCTTTTTAAACTTTTGCATGGTAGAACCAGAGGCTGCTCTTCATATTAGTGACAAACTTTGGCTTTTTTTGATGAGTTACTTTCATTTTTGCTTCTACTTTTCATTTAAAATAGGTTTCCATTCTCGGCAGGTTTCTGAGGTTCTTCTTCTACATATTAAAAAAAGTTGTTAAATATTGGAGTGGTGCACTACTGCTACTAGTGGTGATAAAGTGTATTGCACCTTATTCAAAATCAATGCGGTCCGGCAGCCCAAAGTTAAAAACTGTTGTTCTTTTGAGACCCTCAAGGTGGCGCTGGACCGTGGCCCATGGGTTAAAAATCTCTGCTTTAAAGGATATATTGATCATTTTGAARTAAGATTCTGRCAATCAATATCTTACCTGCTGCAGATGGTTTGGAGCATTCTCAGTCTCAGATTGTTTCTTTTTAAAACAACCCAAGTTTTCTAAATATGTCATTTTTACATTTTGGGAGAAATGTTTTGATTCCAAAGTGTGTCAGGCTTCCTGCTACAGCAAGCTGCTGCTGTTTGTGCTCACAAAAAAATGAGTATTATGTAAATAAAAGGGATTGGCAGTAATTTGAAAAAGTAGCAAAAACTATCTACAACAGGTAAGATAGTTTTAGTYGTAAGCTTTCAGCAGAACTCCAACTCAGAACTGTTCTGTGATGCTGTGCCTGTCTCACCTGTGCAGGTGTGGTGTTTGATGGGGTCATTTTGGAGGGAGCGTTCAACACGGACCGACAGCCGATGCCGATCAATCCGTTCTTCTGGGTAATCTGGATTCAGCAGAGATTTTTAKTTTTTATTTTTAATAATCTGACACTTGATCGTAACGTTTTTCTTTCTTTCTTTTTTTTTTAAGTATTACTGGAAGTTTCCAGGCATGGGCGTTCTGTTCCCGGTGCCGTGGGCAGAAAACAAGTTTGAGTTCTCCACCGAACAGCTGTGAGGCACTTTAATAACTAATATTAGCTGCTGTTGGGACAGATGAATAAGAATATCTGCTTTTTGTTGTTTGTTTCCTGCAGTTTGAAGAAAATGAAAAGCCCGATCCTGTTCCTTCACTCTGAAGACGATCACCTGGTTCCCATCGAAGTGGCTCGACAGGTGAAGCTTTTCATTTAGTTCTGACTGAATTAACGACGTCCTCGTCTGTGGRCTGTTGGAGTCGTGTTGCTGATGACGTAATGATGTCGGGGGGGGCAGGAAGTAACTGCAGCCTTGTTTCCTTCTGCTGATTCAGCGTCTAAATGAATAAATCTGTAMCGTACACTTGATGYRGCCGCTCCAATCAGGAGAAAGATCAAAGTTTTATTTGTGTTCTGAAAGTAGTGAGTCAGACAAAAGACAAAAGTGGATCAACAATCTGAAAACAGGAGGTGGAAACAAACACCGCAAGAGTTTCTATCGTTTAAATCCTATTTTCAGATGTTTTATTGGACAGTTACTGGAATTTGTGTTTACAGGAGCTAAATAAATGATTCACAAGTAGCTCCAAGCACATAGAAAAAACAGGGGTTAACTGGTTGTTAGCATTAGCGATAGCATTGTTATCATATGTTAATTAAAACAGCACAAATCACTGCTCACCCGGGCAGAAACGAGTCAACAGACATTTAAAGCTTCTTTAATGCTAAATGTTTGACCCAACCTGAAACTAAATCATTGTAGCTTCGAGTGTTTGAAAGTTTTCATCTGACTCCTTGTATAAAACGAGCTCTGCAGCAGCAGATAGTTTATGTTGGTCACCTCAGCGCTGGTAAATCCTCCAGATTATATGATGAGTCTTTTTATTATGGATCAGATCCTAAATGTACGCAGAGTTTTCAGCCATGTCTCATCTGCTGCAGCACATTTAGAGCATTAGTGCTCACTGTGATATTTCACTGTTTTCAACCAGAGCAAATCACTTCCTGCCACCCCACCCCCCCATTCTGAATTTAGCACATTATCCGGGTCACATGACTGCAGCCCAGCAATTAGCTAATTTAGTTTGTTTGTTTGTTTGTTTGTTTGACTGTGTCAGACCTACGAGGTGGCAGCGAAGGCTCAGAGTAAAGACAGAGTCCAGCTGGTGACGTTTGACGGCTCTAAGGGGTATCTACACAACGGCTTGTATCGAGACCCCAAGCTGCCGGACGTTTTACGGTGAGCAAACATCTGCAGTTTGATTGTGAGCAGGAGGGGTGTMACGGTGGCTGTACTAACTCTCGTGAGCCTTAAAGCGCTCTAACAGGAAGGATATGTGTTTTCTGAGACCGTTTCAATTTGTGTTAAAAGCAGAGATTCAAACTTTACATCAGTTTTTAAACTGTGTCGACAGAACAAATCAAACTGGAGTTATGATAATTAGTTTATGCCACTTGTTTTTATCTTTGCTGCTCGCTGCAGTGTCAAAGGGCTCGACACACGGGAGGCGACRTCGCTCGCTCTCCATTTATTTCCTATGGAGCCTGTGCGGTGAGGCGACAATCTCTTGCCCTCCTCCAGCTAAGCGACCGGCGAAAATAGTGCATGTGAAATTTTGCGCTCGTACACGTAGACKTGCACACGCGAGCTTGCGACGCGAYDYATGAAAGTTGAAAAATGTTCAACTTTTGTCGCTGTCGCTTAATGTACAACCAATCAGCGAGGGTTTCGTTGACTGACCAATGAGAGGAGAGTATGCTACACACTGCAGTTAGCTAACACTTACACCGAGGGATTACTAAAAAGCTTTGTGGGAATTTATTGGCACCAGGGTTAAGTTTATGGTAAGTTTTTCCTCATAAAACTGTATCTTGATGTGTGTTTGTTTTTCAATATCATTAGCATCGCAAGATTTGTTTAGTTTACACGTCCGTAATGCACACCCGCCTTCAGAGTCAAGAACCAATCAAATTTCGTGAAGACAAGYGACCTGAGAGCGTGATTCGCAACGCTGCGATCGCTATTGCGTCCCGTGTGTCGGGTTTCACCCTGGCTGTGATGACAGCCGTTAATCGCTGTAGTTTGTCGCTGCCCGTGTGTCGAGCCCTTCAGGCAGCAGGAAACACGGTAGTCTCATGGGAAAAACACAACAATCCTCCGTCAGTCTTATGAGCCGAATAAACAAACACCTCCTGACCTCCTTCCTTTCCGAGGCCCAAAGTTATCTGACAGGTGGCAGAAAATCTCCAAGAAGAAGAAAATAAAAAGACATGAACGTTGAATGAAGTTTGGTGCCCCGCCCCTTTCCACCTTGCCCCGGTAACACCGCACTTTTGTTAAAGACGTTATTCTGAGAAAGATCTGCCCAACACTGAACAGCCCCGGTCAGACCAAGAGAACAGGCACACATGTTGCTTTATTATCCAGAGTTTCAACTCTTCCTTCACCACGACCGACCGAAGCAACGCCCTCATTACTGAGGATCAGATCCATCACTTCAGGAACAAGACACCCGAAGCGTTCCCCCCTCCTCTGTCCACGCTGACCTGCTGCAGTGAGTCTGTTTGGTTGGTTGTGATGAGGTTTTGTTGTGTCTCTGCAGGAACTTTGTGCAGTCCTTGTTGCAGCGGAGAAACCTGTAGGAGCTGCTGTGAATCTCTCTGTACGTTCATGGGTTTTTAATTCGTCTAAGTTAATTAAAAAAGGGTTTTTCAGAAATATCTGTAAAATGTTGCAGAAGAGGGTGGGAAAGAGTTTTTTTAATTGGTTTTGGTTTTAGAGCTGTTTATTTTTAATCCATAAAACTTTRAATCTTTATCTCCAGTAGATCCGGAGTGCTCCCAGCATCACCAGCAAACAGAGTTTCATTTAGAAATCCTTACATTTCTCTGCTCTGCAGTTTGACCACACACATCTGCTTCTGATCAACATTTTAGGCACAAACTGTTGGGCGTCATGAAGTGACTCAATCATTCAAATACCAGATCAGATATGAAAACTGATGCAACTTTCTTCATTAAACCCTGTTTAAGACTCTGTAGAACCTCTAGAAATGAGCTTCACAATGTGTTTAGGGGTCTGCAGGTGGTGCATTAATTAATGCATTAATCAACAAGTGTTGTTTAGTCACCAGGTTAAAAAAAACACCTGGTTTGTGAAAATGTAATTATTAATAAAACAATAATAATGACCCCTGTCTTCATGTAATGTCTTATTTTTCTGTTTTAGTGTAATAAAGGTTCAGAATAATTCAGGGTCTACAAACTTTACAATCAAAAGAGACATTTGTGTCCTTTTCTCACTAATAAAATGTGTYCAGAGCCATAAAATAAGCTAAAACTGTGATTATCAACTGGTGGTCTGTGGACCGTTTTGAGGCCTTTTCAAGAACCTTTATGGTCAGTTGAGGTGTCATTACAAAACTTAAAAAATATGATTATTTATTATTATACACATCAGGACAGTTATAAAAACCATAATCATGTAAACAAGAAAAATTCCTTATGTAGTTTATAGCAAATTTTCATAAAAACTAGTACAACTGAATTATTCAGGGATATTATTTTTCTAATTCTTATTATTATGTAGTCAAATTATTCAAAGGTAATTCTGATGGATTTGAGAGAAATATAGAAAGAAATTTGAATATTTAAGTAAACAACAGGTTAGCATGAGCTGACATGTTTTACTTTTTGTATTAGTATTGATCACACACACA